ATCGAACATCATTTCGTGAGGGAGGATAATGTCGGAGATTCAAAGGTACCTATATTTTTTAATCAGGATCTAAGCTTCGAATCTTCTCCTATTATAAGCATTCATTTGACCTATTGGCTATTATTATTTGAATTATTATTCTGAGGTCATTCCCAGTCTATTAGTTACAGTCTCTCACAGATACTTTGGGATTGATCTTGTATAATTGTTATTTTCTACTTTATGATATGATGCAGTCTGGTTTGCTTGTATATAAACTGCGTATGTCTGGAATCCATAATTCATCCAGTAGAAGCTGAGATTCTATTCTGGACCTGACGGGCAGGGCAAGGCAAGGAAAACCAATAAGGACTCTGTTGTGTCTTGTGACTGTAGATTAGATGCGCAGCGAATTATCGATTGGACCAAAGACGCGTAAACACGTGAGAACAACCTAGAGTCTCGATTGGCTCTGCTTCGCTGCCTAGCCCAGCCAGTTGAGTCCAGAACACAAGTCCCAGCCTCTGAGATATGAATCATTATATTTCAGACATACTCTGTTTATATACCAACCAAACAGACCACATCGTACCATAAAATAGAAAACAACATTTGTACAATATTTAACAAGTGAAATAAATATTTACCAATAGGGAATGTTTATTTAAATTCCAAGGACACCATTAGACTTAACATGATAACTATTGGTACATTTTTCCGAATATCCTAACAGACTCAGATTTGACTCTAGACTTCTCGTACTGGTTAAGGCGTCATTGGTTTGGTACAGTACCAAGGTCATATAAGTCGTCCCTATAATTGGTGATCTTGTCACATGTTGGTTTACTGGCTCAAGGACATAACAATACCGAGAGATCCGAGAATCAGCTATCTCGCGATTGTAGCTATGCTATGCTGACGAGTGCCTATTGCCTCAAAGCATGGTCATAGGGGCTCTTGTCAATGACTTCCAATCAACAGTCATCCAGTGACAGATCTTCTCTACAATATATTTCAAATGTAAAGGGAAACTATCAAAGATGACGTATTAACTGAGTTCACAAGTCACTTAAACGTTAGACCAAATAAGCATATCTATAAAGAATACTATTTAATGTTGTCAGCTCAATGAATTCAAGAAACAGACATGATTCGAGTACAACTGATCTGAATAAATAGTTGCAAATACACGGTAATCTCTAGCCCGAATAAAATGATTGTGATCACCATACGAATGTATCATACCAGTGTATTTAATATGATTGAACTTGAGTTTTTACACCATTAGAATATAATATCTCCCATTTTAGTAAGCTAAAGATATTTCGATGTATTTCTTTTTTATCAAAACGGACAATGCCCCAAACCTTTGGCTCGTAGTTAGACGTGAGTCACTTGCCTTTGTTTGTGTTAAGTGCAACAAAATAAGGTCATATATTGTTTACAGTTTGTATTTCTCACAGTGTAGTTCTTTTTTAAATAATAGTCTAGTTTAACGTTCACCATCCTAAACATTCAGTTTATATCTGATATATTTACATTCACCAAGTAAAATCTGACCTTTCCGTGCTTTAATAATAATTTACTAACAAAATATCTTTTTTTCACATAATGTTAGATTCCATTTTTAGAATGGTAGTTGACTTAATGTATAATGCCGTCTTAATAAAGGGAACGGTTTTGTCTAAATCCTTCTTGTACCCATGCATGCATATATATATTGTCAAATTCATCGTATTCGCACATTTACTTGCTTTTCCCTTTAAAAAGATTATTGATTATACAACATTGAAATTTGATTCGTCACTAATACTGAACAAATAGTTTGGATTCATAATAGAAATGGTTATTAGACATTCTTTTTAGTTTTAGATTTAGCATTTAATTTCACTTTTCAAAACCTAGAATAATAGTTTGGCTCCATTTTTTGATAATGTTTTTATTTGACTATATGGCGTTTCATGAATATATGAATTTACGAAACTTACCAATATCTCCTTCCAGAGACTAACTTCTGAGACTTCTGGTACTCACTAACCTAAATTCATCGTACTGACTGACTCTTCCCGAAATGATCAAACATGTCCTTTAGCTATATTCTTACCCTAATGTTGTTTCGCTGCCTTTAGTTATGTTCTCTTGAGCACTTCGAACCAACTATTAGAGATCTCTTGTCAAATACATATCTTAAAAACTTATCTTTTTATTTAACTCATGTGTTATTCATTTAACTGATTCAGTCTTTGTCTCACTACCTATAATTTTTACTGTCGTTAATTTAAAAGAAATCGGTAGAAAGATAATAAATTACGTCTAATCTTTCTGTTATGGAAAATAATTTTAGGAAAAGGAATAAATATTTTATTTACTCTATTCATTATTTAATGGCTGATGAGTATTATTGCCGAATTTTTAGAGATTTGCCTAGAGTGAGTCAACAGTGCTCATGAGAATCTCAAAACTGTAATATTTTTCCTTCAATGTTCAAAATACCTCGCTAATGAACGATTTAAATAAAAAGGAAACTTAGATCAAGAGATGTTTTGCTCACTAAATTTTACCATGCGAAGTTCAACAAATTATTCTAAAGTGTTTAGCTGTATAACTTGATGAAGTCTATCTACGATGTGGTAAAATAATGCTTGTCAACACGGTGAAATGAATAATATGTAATGTTAGTTAACTGTCTTCAGCTTAGTTGTATTTTAGCATAGTGGGCCTGTGGAGACTGCTGAAGTTCTATAGTCTATATGACAGACTGGAATTAGACAACAATTAAGAACTTAAAAATCTGTTGATAGCTGCCTTGTTCTAGAATGGGACTCCTCACCAGTATGTCACCACGAGACCACTGAAGACCATATACACGAATTTTGGCTTAACAGAGAACGCTTGACTTCTAGACTACTAAACTGGGAGCTAGTACTAATGAACATTAACAATGTTTAAAGTAGATAATCACGTTGGTTTGTAAGAGATATATGGTGTGAAACGAAGTGTTAAGATAACAAATTGTGTGTATACGTAAGTGAGAAGAAGAAATTTCATTCACTCTATATTGTCTTCGATCGGTGAGTATTAGGAAAACACCATATGTCTCTTATACACTAATGTAATTACCTGCTTTAAACATTGTTAACATTGATTAAATGACTTATTCAGTATACAATGAACCGGAGAACCGTGTACCTATTTATTTTCGATAATTTTGATGTTTAACTAAATTTCCTTGAAAAATCTTGGACCAGATTGCCAGTCGAAACGTTGGATTTACTTTCAATTCATTCGCTGAGATTTTACAAATACATTCTTCCTCTTTGAACTGTAGAGTTACATAGTTCTACCTTATAAATAATAATATTGGTTTAATATCAATAATTTTTAAAAGTAATTACAGTGTGATATGTGCTACTTATATCGACATAAGTAGTAGATGATGTTAGTTGTGAACAGAAGGTCTGGCAGTAGAGAAACTAAAGGATCGAACAGTAAAGAATGGAAACAGAATGCAACTTGTATAAAAATGCAAGAACAATGAAGTCTGAGTCATTTTGAGACAATTGGTGGATATTTTGCAAATTAAGCATTTACATTATGATTGTTAGATTTTATTAACATGTCCTGTAATTTTGTGTTAAATACATTCGATTGTCCCCAATCGTGTGCTGCTCACTACAACAGCAATTTTCAAATATTTTTTGTGTTATGTACAATCATATGAATGTGTCATAATTTTTGTGAAATTACAATTGCTGTATACTCTGTTTGCTTAATTATCTATATTTTATGACGTTAAAAATGGCCCCTAAATTCAACAATGATATAATGCAGAAATTAGCTAATGATCCATCATGCTTATGCCAATTTTTCTACATTGAAACTTTCTTTTGCTGTATAGAATAAATGCATTGTTTATGGTGCTTTGTTTCAGATAAACAGTATATCTAATCAACAGTCTCTGGGTTCGAATCTCGCGGGCCTGATTGTGGATGCGCACTTTTGAGTAGTCTCATACTTAGACGAAACGACTGTCCATTGCTTCCAGGTTTTCCATGGTAGTCTAGCTTTAATTGATTTATGAATTAAACTATTGAATTAATGAAATCTCCACAAAATACCTTTCTGATAATGTGTAACTACATTAAAAATAAGTGTTTTGCTAATCAACTATTTAACTCCATCTATCAATACGAATATCTTAACATAGGTTCAGTAACTTTAATAACAAACTTTCAGTAGTATTGTCAAATTTCTTTTAAATTTTCAATAAAATTTAAATAAAATGATCAACGTAACCACATCGTGTTATCTAACTCTCATTTAACCGGTTAATTTCATAAATCTCTATTTTATTTGATAAACTATCAAAGAAAATTTGTCTAGTTACCTTGACAACTATAATAATAAAATAACAATTAAATTGATATGTATTAATAAATATATAATTAAATAAATATTTTATTCATTAATAAGATGAATAAACATGATAATTCATTGGATTCAATAAATGTTGTTTACTTTAAACCAGTGAAGAAGGAGAAGAAGAAGAAAAAGAAGAAGAAGAAGATTGAGAAAATATTCAGTTGATAAATGAAAATTTATTCAAAATGTTTATCAAGAGATAGAATTTGCTAATTTCTTAAGAATAAAAAACTGCAACTCTACAAAACTTGAAACAATCAATAATAAATATCATTGTTTATTTATTTATTTCTTTTCTTTTCGAAAAAAGTGTTGATTTGTTTATTTCAAAAATGTTTTAGTAGAAAGATAAGTAAACACTTTGAGTGTGTGTGTGTGTGTGTTTGTGATTTCTCATGGTTACAATCATGTTAAACTATTGACTAAAATGAAAATTATAAATTAAAAAGCGAAAAATTTATTTTATTTTAAGTAGAAAAAAAAGGCTATCGAGCAAGATGAATTATCGATTTGTATTTGGCTCGTTTCATTTTTTTTGTGTTTTGCCGAAACTAATGTCAGAAATCATATTGATTGTGAATAATTTTATAATGTAATAATCAACCCATATTTAATGCACCAGCACCTTGTCCAAAACCAAAACCTTTTGGTCCGAAATTTTTTCCATAACAAGCTGAGAAATAAAAAAGAATAAAAAATTCATTTATTATTATTACTATTTAGAAAGTAGTAAGTTTATACATAGTAGCTTGACTACTAGAGCTAAAACTTAAGTGGAATAACGAACTACACTTAAAATAGAATGAGTGTCTATTCTCCTGTTCAATTTGTCTAACAACTGAACGATTAAAATAATAATAATACTAACAATAATTTTAATTACGCACCATAACGGCCATAACATAATGTTATCAGAAGGGGTTTTGAGGAGAGTTTAGAAAGTTCACTGATTGAAATCATGAGTCAGTTGTAGCTAGACCACCATGTAAAACTTGAAAGCACTGGATGGCCGTTTCTTCCTATTGTGGGACTCCTCAGTAGTGCGCATCCACGATCCCACCCCCCGCGAGAATCGAACCCAGGACCTATCACTTCTGAGGAGTCCCATTGAAATTACTATAACAACAATCCTCTGCAGGTTCTACAATTATATATCCAAATTAATAATCCGAAAAATGGCCAGGTTAAGGGCAAAGTATCTGAATTTAGGATTGTTAAACAAAATATTATAAAATTGTTAACGTTGATATTACTCAGATAGAATGTTAACTTGGATCTGCGTATATGTTAGGTGGAATTAAGGATTCATGGTCAGAATAGATATGGGTCAGATAGGGTGAGAGTAATAATAGTGCAATTACAATTCGGTCAAATGTTTAGTGGAAGGATATATTGTGCGAAAAATTAGTAAGACGTAATAAGGAGGGATAAATGTGAAGTGAAAGAATCATGTATAGGGGAGATTAATAATGATGTTTAATCAATAATAATAATAATACAAAGATTTGTGAATAAAGATAACAGAAATAATTACAGTTGACCACGAAAGGTCGTAACCATTACCCTGGTCATTTTTCGGATTATTAATTTGGATATATAATTGTAGAACCTGCAGAGGATTGTTGTTATCGTAATGTCAATGGTTAAGATCATGAGTCAGTTGAATCTAGACCACCATGGAAAACCTGGAGGCACTAGACAGCCGTTTCGTTCCATTGTGGGACTCCTTGGCAGTGCGCATCCATGACCTCCCACCCTGAGAGATTCGAACCCAGGACCTACTGGTTTCGCGCGCGAGTACTTAACCACTAGCCCACTGAGCTGGCCGGTATCCGACGGTGTTAATGTCTAACTTCAACTAATCCACGAAACTGAGCGACACATCCACCATTGTCTTCAGTGAGTTCCTATCTCACAACAGACCTGGTTGAACTCCATTAGTCACCACTTCTCACTAGAACTGTTATGTTATTATGTTAAGGAGTAAGTCATTCCACTGTTCATTTATGTAACAAAACTTTCAGTAAATTATTCTTAATCATTTAACAAGAAATATTTTAAATTTCGAAAGTTTTCAGAGATGAAGTCATTGTTATTAAAAGTTATTAAGACTGTAGCTAGATTTTTAGTAAATAATTTACCTATAATTCGATCAAATTAATGAGTGTTATTCATTCAATAAACCGTATATTTATAGGTATTCAGATAGATTAAATAAAGAAACAGTTACGATCAATATTTAATACAGTACCTTTACAATAAATTTCTTTTTCTTCCTTTTGAGTACACAAGGTGGTTGAATCAAGTGATTTCCCGCATACTTTACATCGGAAACATGCTTTATGAAAGTTGAGCTAATTATAGAATTATAGCAAAAATAATGATAAATAAGTGGTGTATAAGCAGCATTAAAATATTTTAAGTAATGAAAATAATTTTTCTGTAAGGATTTTGTGGAGATTACTTTAAGTTCTAGGTGGTATTCGTAGGGGGTTAAATTGAGTTTGGATTTTACGGAAATCGATAAACACTTACCAGCTGTATTCTCTCAGTATGAGCCGCCTCAGAATTAGTCTATTATTTTATAAAGAATCGAAACCAGAACATTTGGGTCTTGATAAGAGCGCTTAACAATCAGAGCTAGTCTTGCGGTATCCAATGGTACACATTGCCAGCTGGAGTTACTTTGTTATGTACCCAAAGTATCCGTTAGTGTCATTAGTAATGACTGCTTCACCGCTAACATACTTGAACCAAGACAAATAAGTTGTCTAATGAATCTTGGTTCTAATTGGGACTATGTCTAAGATCCGAACCTGATAAATACTACCTAGAAAATAAGTAACTGTTAGTTGGCACGGTAATTGCTCTATTGTTAAAATTAAACCGTTAGAGAGAAAAATTACAATTCGCTTGTTGCTGATACCATTGTAACAATTTTTCCAATAAACTGGGATAGCTGAGTCAAAAATATCAATGGTAGGAGTAAATTTTTATACAGTGAGATTTGATGCGTTTAATTTGATAATTTCAAGTTTCTGTATGAAATGCAATGATTTCAACTTGTATTCATCTTTGACTTACTCTATAGTAAGTTATTTTCTAGCATAGTTTACGAGAAAATGTTATCTAAAACACCACTGATTTGTACTTCATCTGTTTTCTAACAATTTCTGCTGGTTTATATTGCGGAGATAGGTACGACGAACTTATTTTGTAAATAGTTCTTGATACTATTTACATTTATTTTGTAATTTTCAAAGTTTGTACATTTATCATAAAATGATTTTGTTTAAGTGCATGAATTTGAACTCACTCTCTTCCGTTTTAAATTTCTCGTAGTATGACATACGCCGTTAACTGTTCGTAAATACATTACTACACACATGTTTCTCGTTCTCCATTGCATGTGGTTATGATAAATGAACTTTGAAATATCTATCATCTACATTTATAGACTGCAGCCATATTTCCATTATATTCTACATCTGGCTATATTACTGGAGTCATAACAACCTCATTAGAAGTATTAATTATCTATAATTGTGAATTCTGTTACCATACGCAACTCGAATACTCACAAGCCTGCCGATTTAAGTAACATCCCTTAACTTTTATTTGTGTTTATAACTTATAATTGAGATATTATAACATTAACATTCGGACGTAATAACTTTATTGCCATTTTTGAGTTAATATAATTTTTGGTCCACCACAATATGATCGCTTCTCTCACTAATTTGAGAAGTATAAGATAATCAAGAATTTCAGCAATATGTCAAGTTTATTTGCTAACTTATACTTCAAAATAGTACCAGTAAATACAGAAAAATTAGTTCACAAGCACGTACCTTGAATAGTGAATGAAACAGTCTTCATCGTCAACTAATTACTGACTTTTAAACAAACAAATTACATTATACTATCATAAATTTTCAGGTTTATCTGTTTCAAGACTCAGAAATTCCGTAAGTTGTGACAGTCTCGTATGACACAGAAATTGTAAATTGTTGATAAATGTTTCTAATTTTATAACGAATTCAAACAAATATAAAGTAAATTATTACAGCCTAAATGGATCATCGAAAGTAATAGTTATTTAATGAATGATCAACAAAACCAGTTTATACTATTTGACGTCTATGGCTCTAACATTTCATGCGAAACGTATAATAGTAATTCATATCGTAGTGCCACTACTATTACTGCTGTGAAACATAGCATTAGGCATGATGAAGGTAAATTTATTGTGAGGAGTTATAAAGTATCTACATAATACATGTACATGGCTTTCAATCTTCCATTCGCATCATTTGGTGTGTTCTGCAGTATGACCCGTCTTCTTATCTGGTCTCCATGTGTTATGGCAACTCTATGCTTTCGATGTACTGAAACTCTTCACTCCGTCTGACAATTGTAGCAACTTCGACGTCATGTTCTGCTACACACTACTTACATACAACATTGTAAGTAGCATCCACTACACTATTATTACTACTGAAATATTTGAATAAACTTACTCCACTTGGACATCCAATAGCTTTTTCGGCATCATATACTCGTTTACCACAACGTGGGCAACCACCTTCTTCCGGAGGTATAACTTTACCACCCATTGCGCCAGCTGTTGGTTTATTTCTAGGTTAACGGTTTTTGGAAAAAATAGTTAGATTTACAATAACTTATTGAAATAGGATTTTTACAAAATCTGGACAATATATATATAAACGTATGGCCAGATACTATAGATAAATTATTGGATAAAGAATAAAATTTGTTTTTATCTATCAGCTACCAGCAGTTGCTTTTTATGTAGTAATAAATCTTTCTGAGATACAATGTTAGATCACTAATAAGTAAATATAAAGTGAATAGAGGAAGAATGTATTTGTAAAATCTCAACCAAAAAATTTGAAGTCCAACGTTTCGCCTGGCAATGTGGTCCGAGCTTTTTCAAATTCTTTGACTGAGATTATACAAATACATTCTCCCTCTTTAATGTCTTACATTAACTCGGTGCCCAAATACTGTGAAACTATTCAATCAAATTTAGATGAAAGTTCTAATTTGTTATAAAGTGATTAGGCTGTTTAAGATTAATGATATCCAACTGTTTAATTATATTTTATAGATACATAGAAATAAAGAGGATGTTATAAATCTAACTTAAATCTGAAGTAACAACTTTTTTACTTTGAAAATCATGTAACTCTTAACAGGTAAACTGTATGAGTAAGTAAACGAATAGGTATTTTATTAAACTGAGATTAACTTTTCAGTCATAAAAGGGCTTCAAAGAAGTAGGTGAATCAGTTGTTATATATATATATCATGAAAGTTTCCAAATTAAAGTCAGAACATCTGAGTTTAGTGATGGCAATGTTATTCTTAAGTTAATGAATGATATTTAGATAGTTGAACCTCTTCATCGTTTTTAGATACCAGTGCTCTCTTAATCTATCACACACACATACTCTTGAGATTTATGACTAAATTTGACTGATCGTTTGAAGATTTCACATATCATGTAATCTCTTTGCTATTTTATCAAGTATATTTTCCTTTTGTAAAAAGATAAACTCAACTTATCTCCTGATATCAACACATTTCTGAAAATATTTCTAATATCGTTGTTTCAGTGATTGGTAAAGATCAACTGAAGAACATATTTTGTGTCTGCTTGATAAGTGAAGTTAAAATTATTGGTTCAATGAATAAAGTATAAGCTCAAAGTTTTGGAAAATTTCCACTAACAAATATCAATTCAAATTCACTTGATGTTGTTTTACTTGTATCTTCCCATTGTTATTTAGGACTGAAATTGATCAGTCTCTTGTTGGCATATGTGCGGATTGACTCGATTTAGCCTTAATCAAAAGCTTTTTAAGAAACGATAGGACGAAATGCGCGTCCTGGATTCCACTGCTAGCCACCACCCATCTTTGCTTAAATATCAATTCAGCTTATCGGCGAAAATAAAATTGAATATGAAGACCGACAAATGTATCATCCTACCATACATAAAGGACATATCAAAAACCACAACAAGATTGTGCATATAAATAAGCAAAATGACCAATCAGTCTTATGCAAACTGAAGGATAAAATAACAGAAGAATAAAAACAGGAGATTATTTTTAAAATAAACAGTTTTAACTGAGAGAAACACTAGGTCGGAAAAAGTGGACGCCTTTATTGTCTTGATCTTCATGAACGGGAACCAGCTATCAAACATCATGTTGCACCTTCGTTTATATCAGTGCTCTTAAACAATTATAGGCTGGAAAAAGTTTTGGGGTTTTGGATATAGAGAATACTAAGAATACCAGAGAATTAATATAAGCTTGGAACTCAGGTCATTCATCAATCAACAAGCACATGGCAATTGATTAAATTTATCAACAAACCAGAAAAATTATGGACAAATATGGGATCAAAAATCAATTCAAGGGAAGAGACAATCAAAATAAATATGCAGAAAACGTCAGGTTAAATGTCAACAGTAAGCAGTCAACATCAAGGTCGATAGGATAAGCTGTTAGTCATATGTCAAGAAATCCGAATAACACATTTTTACCTAGATTTTGTGTTGATGATGATGTTCAGAAAAATAATGAATGCTTCATGATTAAACCATCCAGCTTAGAAAAAGAAGTTCCACTAAAATCATCCAGCTGAGCTACAAATCGTATCCACCATCTCAGCTTAGACTATGTTTTGTTACAGACGTTGGTACGGTTTACATATAACTCTTTTCAACCTCTGGATGAACCACATACATAAGTCAAGACTTTCTTTATCCTGGAGCTTGTATACAATCAAGCGTACATAGTTTAAATATGAGGTCGTATTGATGAATTGTCTGATTTTTATTAGGACAGATAAGTAATATAATTTAAAAATGATTATCCCGTCATTAAATGTATCGTATACAGCTCATCCCATCTCTTATAAAAACTTACGACATTTCTGTTTCTTTATTACCAACATGAGTTCCGGTATCCATATTCAGTGCTCCAGAACCTCCACCGAATCCATAACCTTTAGGACCAAATTTACGACCATGGCAAGTTTTACAAAATACTTCTCCTTCATGTTCAGCCACTGTAGTACTGTCTAACATTTTATTGCACAAACCTTTAAAAATAAGATGTATATTTATGTAAACAGGGTCTGATATTCGACAAGAAAATAAAAGTAAATAGTTTTATAAACCTTTTGTGGATTTCATTAATGTTAAGCCTATAGCTTTTAAAATATATTTTTTGATACTCACTTTACGATTAGATAAAGTTTTAATTGAGCCGTTGTTTGTATTCAGGATTGAATTTTAGTCAGTTATATTCGGCATATATGCATCTTCAGCTGATTGCTTTGTTATAATCATTTTGTCGCAAGATGTTGGAATAGATGGATCATAACTAGTAATGGAACTAAGGATGTTCGTTTTGTCCTGTTTTGGATTAGTCATTTAAATCTACCCAAATTGTAGCATTGATGTTCGCGCTGAGATTCGAGATGCATACCTTTCACCTAAGACGATAACAACTGAATCAGTGTGAAAATCAACACTGAGATACTGGTATGTCCACCTAACGAGTCCCAAATAGAACGAAACGCAAATAGTAGGTTCAGATGCTAGTCACCATTTATTTATTCTAAAAATATTCTATTCGATTGTGAGGAATGAAAAAAATAACACCAACTTTCAGAGCGGATTTAATATTAATCAGGTTGTTGCTCTGTAAATGAAACCAACTGGATGAATATTCATTCTGTGTTGTTTTAAATCAAATCAGTTATTGACTCAGTAGTTTAGAGGTTAAGCATTCGCGTGCGAGACCAAAGGTCATGGGTCCGTGTCCCGCACGCGGGATCGTGAATGCGCACTGCCGAGAAGTTCCATACTAGGACGAGACGGTCGTCCAGTGCTTCCGGATTTTCAATAGTGGTCTGAATTCATCCATTCATGATATCAATTAAAACTAAACATACTCTACAACAATATAGTGACAATTTTATATTACAAATAATTATCAATCTAAAATCTGTTAAGAATATTAGAATAAATCAAATAACATCCGTTTCATTGTTGAATACAGATATATTAGAGTCGATATACTTAAATCTCCATAATGTTCATATTGGATTATAACTTGTAGTATCACAATTAAAGACTGATTCACAGATTTAAAAGTAATGACTTTTTGTCATGTCCTAAAATTTCCAAGTATTCTCCAAACATAGATTAGTAATATGTCTTTATGAAAAGTATTTAAGTTTGAAAGGGTATAAACGATATATAAACTGACTTTGCAATCAATTAAAATGTATACTATGGGTCTATTAAGAATAATTCTAGTATTTGGTTCATCGACTTAAAATTATAAAGGTAGTAAGATAAATTTCTACTGAACACTGTATGTAATGATTGGAAGCTGAAAATTTCTATAAAATACTACCCAAATATAGGATAGATTAATATACTGAGAATGTACACGCAAACCTTCCTGTTTATTTTCAAAAGGAATATCGTACTTAGCTTACTATGATACTAGAAATATATGTCTCCCAAGAGTTGAACTGTGACCATTGCTAAGATTTATTTAAAAGAATATTTATTTAATTATTTGAACACATAAAAATTGGTACTAGTGGGAACCAAATATATATACGCCACACAATAACAATGAGACCAGTAGTAGTTATCATTGGTTTATGCGAGGGCTGTGATACTGCCCGGGCACCCAGACCGGAGCAAATGGTTTTCTTAGGGGGCCCATATCTGGAGTCTTCGACTTAAAGGTCGGATACACAACGCAGTGGAGCAACGTAAAGAGATGCAGTCCCATGGTATCCGATGGTCAACAATTGGTTCATACGCCATTTATTTCCTTAGGATCCTGGAGTCCATGTACACCATTAGTTTAGAATCAGGGCTTATCCACTCCGGTTAAAGCACAGGGAAATCTATCTAATGCATGCAGTCAAAGCAGTTTTAAATGACAGTTTAAAACTTGAAGCATGTTAACTGTGTAAAAATAAGAAATATTATATTTGTATGAATACATCATTAGTTGTATCAGTTAATGTTAAGCCTCAGTAAGTGACTACTTATCATAATCGATATTATTGGAAGAATATCACTGAATAAATAAAGATTACAAAACAGTCAAAATAGCTAACCAAAAACTAACTTTAGTAAAGCAAAACATATATATATATATATAAACACAAGAATGAGAATTATGAGTTGTTTAAACCATTGCAGACAAGTTTTATAGGTTAATTACAGAAAGATAACAGTGTATTCATCTAATTGTTAAAACATTCTATTGAAGTAAGTTCATTAGTATTAATTACTGTAGAATGCTGAAATGAGAAGCCTTATGTAACCAGTTTACTTAACGTTAAGCAAGTGGTTACACATTCCATTCATAAATTGATTAATTTACTTGATGACTTGATTAAAAAACAATGTCCTGTTAGCTGTTGTTCTAACAGCCCAGATGTCATCAATAAATCTTTAGTTTAATTTTATTTATCTCTAAGTCTTATCTTTATGTAAGTACTTTTAATCAGGGTTAGAATGACTAACATTTAATATGTACATAGTACTGAATCTTGAATACTGTTTCTCATAAGCTCTTAACAAGCTGATTATTAAGAGGTGTTTGTTTTAATGTTAACTGATACTAATAGTTGGCATCACCAGTCATACTCTCAATGCCCAAAAATGTCTTGAAAATTATATTTTTCGCGTGCTTACCAGTTAACAATGTAATCTATAATAATCCATATGAGAAGGAATTGTTTACTCAGAAAAGACATTGTTTCTGGAGATGCTTTGTTATGTGAGCTGGTTTGCTCAATCATGAAGCTTTCTTTTTCTTTGTCCATGCGCACTATTATTAGAGAAACCATACCGTGTTCATGGCATAGCAATGACCACACACTTGTGAACAATAACCAAGCTTCATGTCAACAGAACAAGTTGCCGTTTAATTTAAGAGAAATTTAAATTAATCCCTTTATATTGAATTGTGTACTGTCATGGAACACTATAAAAGCTTCAAAACTAAATCATCCAGCTCAGAGAATAAAACGCCACGAAAATCCTCATTCTCATTCTAACTTCATTATTAATTAACATTGTCTGGAGAAACAAAGAAACTTCATTTCACCGCATGAATATTTAGTATGGGTTAAAAACATTTTACTTGCACAGAAACTATATAGTTTTATAGAAGTTACTGACTTCATGAATAGTTCACTCATTTAGATTATTTTTTGAAGCTTTTTAATTAGTAATTCTGAACCTTAACCTAAAGCTGATTGTTTATCAGTTATTTAGTAAAATATGATAACAGAAGTCAGCAAGTTATCTGCTGACTATAGAGCACGAAAAGAAACTCTTATCCATCAGATTTTATGCTGATTTGATGTTAGAAACTACTTCAAACATTATAAACTCAAATATATCTTAAAATATGATATTTAATGAAAAAAAACAGTATTCCTTATAGTAATAAAGATGTTTTAAACAATATACTATACTCTGTAAATGGTTATAAGCTCGATTCATTTCGCCTACTGGAATAAAGACATTAATCTACATTGTACATGAATATATATTCACTACTTTTTAAAGTAATATACATCAATTAGATCTCAATTTCGTACAACTGTTCCCATTTAAAAACTTGAATAAAGAAAGAACAAATATTATAGAAGTATTTGTTACATGTATGTGATGTATGCTACTTATGTTGACAGATATAAGTAGTATGTAACACTAATCAGAGGTGGAATCCCTGACAAAAGACTTTTGACAGGATTGATCTGAAGAAAACATAAAGGAATTGGGAATTGGAAGAGTCATAAAGAATGTAAAGGACAATTGAAGGAGGAAGATTTGCAAATAAAGCATTTAATGTACGGTTTTCATATTTTAAGAAAGAACTTTGTCATTTAGTATGATACAAAAGTTATTCGTTCATTACATATGCATCTCATTTATTTTGTAAAATTTTCAAATCTTATGGCTATTATAGTGATATTTTGATTTCATTAACTCATAGTTAAAGTATACAACGTATACTTGACAACCACTTTTTTGTTAAGTAAAAGTGGTGTACTACTCTAGCATCAAATACAGAGATTTCACGGAATAAGTTTTTGGTCAATAGACTAATCGAAGGTGGAGTATAACTCTCGACTTCACCTTCAGATTCATTTACGAGGTGTACTTGGTCATTTGCGCAAATTAGTAGAAATTGCTGATAGAAGACTATCTAAATTCTTTTGAAATCTTACTGGAATTTTATCGCTTGACCGTAATTCATACAAATAAAATCACTATTTATTTAATACACTTAGAACATGGTATGGCTGTCTTTATGTTTTCAAGTAACAAACGACTGATAAGTTTACTGTCACATAGTTCTAGTTAATAGACGAACACTGTTTCTCCCATATTCACAAATATACTCGGTACTAGACTGTAAAAATACATTGGGATTTGGTTAATATTATATGAATAGCTTCTATTGATACATGTTAGAAAGACTGACACTTAATTTCAATACACCTTAACTAATCAGGCTGTCTTTCCAAGTATACATGATTAGGATGAGTGTTCGGTCGTAACTTCTCTCCGTATCCACCATCTATGATGAAACTTTATCAGTTAGTAGTGTCCTGAACAATCTACATACAAATGTTTCCATTTTTTTTAGCTAATAGTATTAATTCAATACTTCAGAAAGATGATTTCGATGGGCGGAAAATTGATTCTAGTTTCATAGATTCATATTTGTTATCGAAAAGTTCATGATGATTAGATACTCAGCTATATCTCAAGTAGATTCATTCGAAATATATTAAAACCACTCTGAAGACTACTATGATATATTTCTTTAAAACAAAGTTGTTATTTCTAATTAACTATCTTTTCATAAAACCCCAAAGTACCTTTACGTGAAAAGGTAAATGTATTAATGAGTACATCACTTGAGGTTCACCTTTAGTTATTGAAAAAGTCAATTAGTTTAAATCAAAAGTGTATAATTATTTTCAACACGACTTGAAATTATAAACTCTTTCTTAAATCAGTCAATTTACTGTCTAGAATGATCAACTTTACAGAATAGTCAAAAATGAAGAATATTTGAGAGAACAATGGTTTTCAATAACTTCATCATCAGGCTCTACATAATTATGATATTTTACAAAGGCCAAAATTAAGGCATGTATTAATGAATTTGACAATGTTATATGTTGAAAATGGTGCACGTTTGCATCTGTTACGATATATATATACTTCAAAATTGTATTATTTGCAAATTAGAAAGGTCATTCAATAAAGGTCAGAATGATTTAGAGTAAAGTGTTCAGTCACAATAAATAGAATAGTATTACAGCAACAATGAAAATCCAAAAACTTGTGTGAATAAAATGCATAGTAGGAGAATTTCATCTTGTCATTTGAGATAATAATAATAAGATTGTTGTGTGAATATAATATGTAATAAGGAGGGTGGTATCATGGTAATTACGATAAACGAATTGGGAATGCCTTATTTTTGGCCTTTATGAAAAATATTATAATTATGGACTTATAACTGTAGAGCCTGATAACTGAGTTATTGAAAACAATTGTTCGCTCAGTTATTCTTCATTTTTTGAATATTCTATGGGGATGTTTAAACTGTTGAAATCTACAGAATAGTTCAAAACTTTAAACAAAACAAAAAAACTCAAAAACACTAGTTATCCTACTATTTAATAAGTTAGTAGTTTAATGAAATGATATAAATTATAAAGTATCAATATCTATTTGAATGTTATTAAAAAAAGAAAAAGAAAAAATAACTTACCACATTTTAAACACATACTATGCCATGCTTTACCACCGGCTATTTTTCTTTCTGCAGCATAAACAGCTTTTTGACATTTTGGACAAATTTCAGAAGGCATAATGAATCAATAAGTATCTATATTGAGTAATATATATAATTGTAAGATTTAATGGATAATTGTTATATTCAAATAGTAACAAACAGTTTATAATAATTAAAACAAAAGAAATGGATTAATTAACTTCAAATCACTATTCACAATGTTCTTGTAGTTTATATAGTTAGTTAATTAATAATAATGTGTAAATCTATTTTTCTCTATGGTAACAAAATTATATAATGATTATACTTTATGTATTCTATATAATTCTTATTATGATTTTTAAAATGTTTGTTAACAATTGTGCATATCTATTTCAATATATTGAAAAGAGGGAACATAGGTAAGGCATAGTGACTATATAGGGGGTATGGTGTGTGTTTGTGTATGGAGAGACTGAACAGTTAGATTTCTTTCTATTTTATTCTCTTTTTTTTACTTTTACAATATTTGGATAGTTTAAGAAATGTTTTTGATTGGTATACAATGAATCAATAATACAACAAAGATTCCATAAAGATTATTTTATTGTGTAATAAAGGTTTAATTTGGAAACATTTGTGCCCCATCTGTCTGTCTAACTAAATCAATAAAAATTGTGGAATTTTTTCCGTTAAAAATTGGAATTACATAAAGAAATTTTATGGTAAATTTGTCCAACATTTGGGGAACTTACTATTAAAGTCTGAATGTTTTTGTATCTTTGTTAGATTTCCTTATTATCATTACGTGACTGTAGAGATTGTTGAGTTTAGATTGACACCATCACTGGATCAATACTGGACCATCATGGAAAATCTGGAGGCACTAGAAGACCGTTTCACCTCAGTATGAGATTCCTCGACAGTTGGCATCGACGATCCCGCACGTGGGACTCGAACCTATGACCTTTGGCTTCGCATGTGAACACTTAACCTCTAGACCACTGGGCCGGTTCAGTGGCTGTTGTATATAGTTTTGAGGTTCGAAATTATGCTGTAGTTACAAATAGAATGTTATTTAAACGAACAGGCACATTCTATTTGCTTTCAACCCGAATATGTTACATTAAGAATAAACATTTCAATACTATATGTCAAAAATAATAATATATATCAATTGGTGTTGTTATTGCATTTTCTTAGCTAATTACTAAAATGGATTTTAAGTTGAATGGATACGAGAATGAAAGAAAATGATAGATAGATTTTTTCAGAAAGAATTTAATAAGATTTTCATCTTTCTTGGCATTCCACCAAACAAGATCACAAGTACCCAAACAGTCTTGTTAGAATCATGATAAATTTTTCTCTCATTAGCCTTAGGATAATTTCATCACGTATTATTAATTTGAAACAAGATAGTTTGTCGACGTAGGTGGTAAGTGGATATGTTCATCGTATATAAATAGAAGCTTTCTGTTCTGAACATTCCTCGTAATTTCACTCAGAACAATAAATCTAGGCTTAACATAGTTCATACTGTAATTCCTTAACTGATGTATGTTGAATTTAAAGGAACTGTACAGATTAGTTTTGTTACCTAACCTTAGTAAATTTCACTGATACTTCATTATGTTGGTCTAATCAAAAAATCTCGTTATTTTATATGGTAGCCAAATCTTAGATTTAATATTTTACGAGAACAAGTTCTATTTGGCTGCTGTTTTAACGTAAAAATAAAGAAATAATATTTTTAATAAGTTTGTGGCATATGCTACTTATGTCGATAAATATTAGTAGTACGCAGCACCAGTAGGAGTGGAATGTCTTGTATTAGAAGATTGGGAAGATCGGATTGAAGAGAGCAGAGATGTGACTCAACTTATGTTGGGCAATCTATACTCAGTTAGTCTGTTTATATTTGGTATTGATCCAACCAAAGAAAAGTGACTAGTGACCTAAGCCAAATGAACAATCTAATTACAACAATCACCTGCGTCGATTATACTTTTCATCTATTAGTGTCCTTGAGAAATTTAATCTATCTGAATTTCAAAACATGTAACAAAGGAAGAGTTATCTTATATATAAACTTTTCAATGTCTGTAAATAGAAATGAGTTATTAGGATTTCGCCACAAATAACTAACAGCTTACTTAAAACTAAATAAATAGAAGTGAATTATTCACGATTAAATCACCGAGCTCACATAACTTTGTCGAATTGCAGAGATGACTTAATTTATGCGAGGAAAAACAAACAGGGAAAATTTGTCATCATTGAAAATATTCATTAGGTTTCATTAAACTAATATTTAGTAGCTCTTTTAGAAACAATAACGATCCCAACCCCGAGTAAAAGAGGAGTGTTAAGCACGGAGTCGGCAACCCCGTCCGATAGAAAGAAAATTCTTGCTAAAATACGCCAACCAGACTGAACAAATTACACCATTTAAACTCTGCCCCCGAGTTCAAGGAAGAATTATGACGCCTCAGGATGGAAGTCGAGATTCTTCACAAATCACAACGTCGATTCCGCTTCTAACAACCAGTGAAACAACTTTAGTAGGCACATGGAATGTTCGGACAGTGTGGAGGGCCTGGGAGGACCAGTCAAATAGCAACAGAAATAAGAAGAAACAACTTTAAAGTCCTAGGAATAAGTGAAACACACTGGACCTAAGCTAGATATCAAAGGCTAGATACGAGAGAGTTGCTGCTATACTCTGGTCACGAAGAGGAAAATACCCCACACACTCAGGAACTTGCTCTGATGCTGTCCAAAGAAGCACGTAATCCACCTATAGGATGAGGATCTCATGGATCCAGGATCATCAAAGCATCACTCAAAATAAAGAAGTGAATCACGATGAATGTTATCCAATGTTATGCACCCACCAAAGATAGCAATGACAACGATAAAGTTCAATTTTACGAGACACTGCAATCGTTCATGAAGTGCTCAGGAAAGGACCTGACCATCCTGATGGAAGATGTAAACGCCAAAGTGGGAATGGATAACACTGGGTGTGAAGATATCGCGAGAAGATATGGACTGACGGAGAGGAAGAAATGAAAATGTGGGGAGATCTTCAAATTTATATGCATTCAACAAAATGGTTATAGGTGACACAATATTCCCCGAAAAACGCATACACAAAGCTATGTGGGTCTCACCGGATCACATTACGGATAATCAGCCCGATCATATTTACATCAGTAAAATATTCACAAGGCCAATGTATGACGCGAGAACCAGGAGACAAGCTGACAGAGCTTTAGATCATCACCTGTTGGTTGCCAAGATGAAACTGAAGCTAGAGAAGCACTAGACTACTGGACAAACAGCATTGCAATGTTTCAATACAGCCTCCCTTCGAGCTACTGACAAACTCAACGAATTCAAGATAACTCTCAACAAGAGTTTAAAGCTTTATAGGATCAATTCTCAGAAGAAACTGCTATGGAGGACACTTGAAAGGGGAATAAACAAGCACTAATTTCAACGTGTCAGGAGGTTCTAGATCGCGAGAAGCATCATCATCGGGAACGGATCTCTATGGAAACCCTGGAGAAGATTCAAGAAAGGAAGAACATTGAGACAGTAATTAACAACAACCGAACAAGAGAAAAGAAAATCAAGGCACAGTCCGAATGCACCGAGTCAAACAATCAAGTCAAGAGGAGCATTAGAAACGAAAGGCAGAAATACGTGGAAGAACTAGCAACGATAGCGAAAAAAGCTGCAAGAGAAGGAAGTATGAAACAACTATATGACACAACGAAGAAACTGGCAAGCAAATATAGTAAACCACAAAGACTGGTCAAGGACAAGGAAGGCAAGACAATCACCGAGATTCAGGAACAGAGGAACAGATGGATAGGATACTTTGAGGAACTCTTGAATAGATCAGCTCTATTGAATCCACCAGACATCGTAGCAGCGCCTACAGACTTTTCAATAGATGTCATCTCCACCAACGATCGAAGAAATCAGGATGACCATCAGATATATATATATATATATATATATATATATATATATATATATATATATATATATATATATCCACTTAGTGTGGGATATTTCTCTATATATATACATATTATGCTAGAAATTGGAAATACAGTGGTAGTGTGTTAAGTAGTTCTACTCACAAGCGTCAAATATCAACGAGCATTTTGATAAAGTTAAGAGTCACTTACTTGAACTCTTTAGCTCACTAAGGAAACTTTATTTCGTCTGACTACTAAACCTTAGGCAGAGTACTATAATATTTCTATCACGTAAAAATTGTTTTGTATGTACCCAACTGTTTAATTATAATTTTAATACAATGAAACCATTTGTATATACAATCTTATTTCTTACTTGTGTTATTACAATTGTAACTAAAAGAGTATGTATTATAAATAAAAATAATATATTTGTAATATTCCAATGAGTAGAAGATTGGATTTTCTGACGTTTCGTGACTTAGTGTAAGTCACTTCTTCAGAGAATAAATAATCCAATTTTCTACTCATTGGGATATTACAAATATATTATTTTTATTTATAACAGTCAACCCAATGCTCAATTTATTCGAAATGATCAAATCAAACCTTGGTAATGACACCTACAGAGTATGTATTAGTTAACCCTAGAAATTAATAGTTCATATATTACATGCAATAATGCTACTAATTTGAAATATCCTTATTACATTTACATAGATATGGGTCAAGTAGGGTGAGAGAGAAATAATAGTGCAATTACAATTCGATCAAATAAGTAAGACGTAATACCCTATTTGACCCATATTTATTCCGATCATGGATCTTAAATCTCACTTAACATATACGCAGATTCAAGTTAACATTCTATATGAGTCATATCAACATTAACAATCTTTGATTGAGATGATGAACTGATTGATGTTAGCCTGGACGGCCGTCCAGTGCTTCCAGCTTTTCAACGGTGGTCTAACATCAATTGGTTCATGATCTCAATCAAAATCTTAACAATCTTCACACCCCCTAAACTGATAATTAACAATTTTATTGTATTTTATACGAATATTCGTCAAGATTAGAACGAATAGTTTGACAGTAATTG